AGAATCAATAAGTTTATTGATCCTTTAAAACCCATTGGGGAAAATCAATAATCTGATTGGCATATTCAATAACTGTGTTGTATTGTTGTATCGTATATTTACCGTTTTCGCTGTGTATAGAAAGCTTTGTTAATACAAAAATATTAATATAGAATTGCACAACGTAACAAAGAAAAAAAAAATTAAAAATAACAAACGAAAACGAGAAAAAAAAAAAAGAGTTTCGAATACGAGCGCATATGGGGTTCTTTTGGGTCCATGACTTCAGTTTCTAGATTCTGCGAGCTTAGCCTGGAATCCAGGAATTTTAGAAATATTATTCTAATTTTCGCTTTTCTTATGCTAAGCCAGCAAGATTTACAAGTTATGCATTTTTGAGAGTCGTGAACTCGATTCAGCTTTCGCTATCAAATTGAGAAAGAGTACATTGAACTGAATTTAATTTAAACGCTTTACAAAAGCCTACAAAAATGCCATATGCAATAATACTTATTTAACATGCATACTATCACATGATGGGAGCTATGACAGGAGACAGGAACAATCGTATCTGGTCTAACCTAATCCAGTTTTCCTGGACTAAAAGACTATTCTTGTGGAATGCATCCGATCTAACCTATTTTAGCATGCCTGTTCCTCTCTTGTTTTATATCTCATTATGAGTGATTATACAACCGTTACTTTCACCACTGTACGTTTATATTACTTTTACTGCGGTTGGTGTGACACGCAGTGTATATTTGGTGTCGCATTTGATATATACATTCCTACATATTGTAAAGCAAGAACGTGATTATATGGTTTTGCTATTATTTCGTATAAGGCGTCTTTAATATACTATTGAACATTGGTTATTAATATTGAAAGGGTTTTGGGGTAGAACTTGATTGGAAAAAATATACGATTGGAGTTTAGTTTTTTGTAAAAGTTGTTCAATATTCATATTAGCTATTCCGATGTCGAAAAAAGACTAAAAAAAAGTAAGTCCACAATGCACCGCAATGCTAAATCGACAGTTGCTTTTTTTCTCGAACCAGGAAACTGCTACTAACATGCAATTATAAGTCTACTAAACCTTTTCTAGCCAGCACATTTCCTGCTTGTTCGATATGAGAAATTCTACATTGCGAGGTTATCTTCGCCACTATCATTATCTTCATTTTTCTCTGTCTCCTGGACTTTTAAATCCTCTTTGCTTGCAGTCATTTGTCCGTCAGGGTCATTTCGTATTTCCGATTTAACGTTTTGATCTTGTCGACCTTCCTCTGGTTTTCCATCTTCTTTTGCCTCTGTCTCCTGGACTTTTAAATCCTCTTTGCTTGCTGTCATTTGTTTGTCAGGCCCATTTCGTATTTCCGATTTAACGTTTTGATCTTCTCGACCTTCCTCTGGTTTTCCATCTTCTTTTTTCTCTGTCTCCTGGACTATTAAATTCTCCTTGCTTGCTGTCATTTGTTTGTCAGGCCCATTTTGTACTTCCGCTTTGACGTTTTGATCTTGCCTATCTTCCTCTGGTTTTCCATCTTCTTTTTCCTGGATTTCTAAAGTCTCCTGGCTTGCTGACATTGGTCCGTCATGGCCATATTGTATTTCGTTTTTGATGGTAAAATCAATTGGAACCTCATCTGGTTCTCTCCTAAAAGCATAGATAGGATGAAAATGTATTCCATTTTTTCTTCTTCTACAGATCTTTATTTTTTCTATTGCGTTTGATCACTTTGACATCTTTTTCCTGATTTTCTTTCATTTGTAAATAATTGGCAAATGCAAAAACCTTGAAAACACAAATTACTAAACGAATGCTACTTACAGCTCTATTGGCGTTTGAAGACTACTTTCTGCGAATATGTAAAGGAATTTAAATCGAATCAATAATACAGTATCAAATAGTGTAGTATAATAATAATATATGATTTAAACACAAGAAAAGAATATTCAACATCTCTTATCCACACTCAAGTCCCAAATTGAATATTTACTGAAGTGGTTGGCGGCTTTAATCGGCGAGATTGAGGGGGTGAAAGTCCAAAGCCAATATTATTAGTAATCCGTACTTTTTTCTCTAGTTAACTTTTTCGATTGGTAAACTAATATATTTACTCTACCATCGATCGACTTTCAAATACATGCTATAAATTATAATTTTTACCTCCGTGCTTTGTCTTGAGTCTCTTGCCCACCAATATGATAATTACGAGCAGAAAGAACCCTCCAACACTCGCTCCAATGATGATGTAGCTTTTCTTTGACAGCCCCCCTGTTCTTGCATCACTAGACCCAGAAGCACTTCCCCCGTCTGTCGGGTACAAAAAAAGACATTCTTGTTTGATTTTTGTTTATGTTTCACAGTATGGGGTTTCACAAATCGATTTGAAATATTTGAAATATGTAGATAACTTTGTAATACTGGATAGAATTGTTTTTAATGTCGTATATATTACTTTATATTATTAAGACGAGGTTATGTAATGTTTTCTTTTGATGTCTTTTCGTATACAGGGCTATTCGACATTAATTATATTTGGTGAGGCTAATGGGGCTCCGACACCATAGATTCCCAGCCCACCCAATCACTTCTTTTTACAAAAACATTTTGTCGACTAAAGAACCTTTAAAATAACTACAGAAAATGACCAGGATGAAATTACTCCCGTTTTATAACACTTCCTAATTCTTCTCATTTTCAACTCCACATCTTCCAATCCCACCAAAACATTCAACATTACAAAAAAAAAGTTTGTGGATTACTATACTTTTATGCTACTCTTTATTAGTTATACAAACAGAATTTTAAATTTGCACAATGAAAACTAGTGGGGTGGGGGGGGGGGGGGGGACCATGACGATGTCATAAAAAGCAAGCATTTCTCATACCTTTTGTCTCAAAGTCCTCTTCAGCTGGATTTCCTCTACCAAATCGATTCTTTGCAATTATCTGTAAGGTGTACGTTGTGCTGCTCTGAAGATCTCTAAAAGAACAAGTCCATGTGTAGTTTCTAACATGCAATGCCTCGCATTCCGTCCATTCGTCCTGGCTCTCTTTTTTCTTTACTCGTGCAATGTATCCTGTGATAGGAAGACTGCAGTTTGTAACTGGTTGTTCCCAATGGACTTCAACACTAGGTATTGATTTGGCAATATTTAGGATTTCTGGAGCCAAGGGGAATGCTGGTAATAAATATAAATGAAACGATTTGTTAGCTTTTGAAAACCAAAAAGGAAAAAAAAAAAAAACAAGTAAAAATAAATGGGAAAGAAGATGAGGGAAAAAAGGATACATACATAGTTTATTGCAAATATAAATAGAGGGGTTTTTGGAAGGTATGTTCATATGACGGATTGGACAGTGTTTAGCTGAATATTACAAAGATACAGAAAATATTTTTCCCAACTGATTCCGAATATGGCAAAACTCTAGGCCTTTTTCGCTTTCTTTGAAAGCATTTTGGGAAATTTAACCGAAAAGAACGATGGCCGTTTCCATTACAACAGTTTATGACATTTCTTACAATACAGGCCTACCTGAATACAAATTTTCAAAGTTATTCTTTTTTCAATACCAGCTTTTCTTGGTTTTTACTGTGCGGACGTGTTTCCCCAACCTACCTAGGGTTCATCCTCTAACTAGTATAGTGCTTAAAATATCTTTTGTAAATCTGCATATTTTACTTACATTTAATTGTCACTGAAAATTGAGCTGATACTGGTGTCTTCACACCATTGCTTGCAGTACATCGATATACCCCAGCATCACATGTTTCTGCCCTAGCCTTGCTGTACGTGTCATTTGTTGATAAAATATCCGTTGAGCTCCCCTTAGTCCAGGTTATCTTTGGCGGTGGCTTACCACGTGCTTGGCACTTCAATGTTATCGCTTCAGTTTCGTTGACTGTAACATTTTTGGGCCCAGTACAAATGGTAGGAGGTTCTGGTAGGAAGAAAATTAAGGCACATTAACTACAGACAGCACTTCTGAATTACGCTCGCGAAATCTCACAATTTTCTTTCGCAACAAAATACGTTTTGGTGGACTTTCACAAACAGGCTACCAAATGTTCTAGACTTCTACTATACTAAATTACTAAATACTTAAGGATTTGAGTAAGGCCTGCTGTCTTAATGTTGGACTCATTTATTATAAGACTGAGTTTTCGTTGTCTACATCATCACTAGAGACTGATAACCTCCGATGTGCATACAACGCAGAAAAAATATGTAGTATTAGTATGCTAAAATATGTAAGATCGCGAGGACCTCAGGCCTCAATCGAATCTTTAATTATTTAGTACATTTGCTGCTGAAGAACGCTTCAAACTGTACTAAATTGGTAATCACTTCAAACGTTAACTAAATAATCTTCTATAATTTCTTAAGATAATAGGCATGCCAGAGGAACGTTGACCATGTTTACAATCTCGTACCCAGAGCCTGCGCTTCTTCTGGCCTGCGGCGAAGAACGAGGGCTCTGGCATAATCCATTTTTTGAGACCAGGATTTCTTGGACTTCCGGTATAACGGCGCACGCGTTCAAAGACTTGCCAAAAATTAAAAATATTTTTCCCCCGATTTCAATTTATACTATGATTTTTACTTTGATTTTGACTTTGATTTTGACTTTGATTTAATTTTGACTTTGATTATTTTGATCGGTTATAGTGTATCTAACTTTCCGAAAATTGCGCATGCGGCAAAATATGGATTATGCCAGAGCCCTCGTTCCTCGCCGTAGGCCAGAAGAAACGCAGGCTCTGGGTACAAGATTGCCATGTTTATAGAAAAGTATTCTAAACAAGAGCCTATAGCAAGCCTCGCCATGTAAAACACATTTAATTTCGCGCGGCGATATGTTCTATTTAGCTTACTTACCAAGCATAGTTATTATAAGAGAGTCTGACTTTTCGCCACCACCAAGCAAATTCGTAGCAATGCAAGTGTAGCTCTCGTCATAAAACGCCCGATCCTTCTTAATGACGAATGTGCTTTCTGATGGAGTATGATTTGCTTTTGATCCATTGACCTGGAAACTGAAAATGTGTGGCGGTGGATTAGATTGTGCACTGCAGTTCAAGGTGAGGGATTCGTTTATCGTAATACCACGGCGTCCAGTGATAGAGAGCCTTGTATTGATAGGTTTATCTAAAAGAAAATGAAAAAAAAAAAAAAGAGTATCAATAATGGAGCCTATCCTATAGGTGGAATGTTACCTGTCTAGTTCTCCGCGACATTTTAATTGTTGGAAGCTTAATAAATAAATGGATAAATATTGCACTATATTTATTATTTTACATACCTCAGTGCTATCTAAAATATAACCAACTCCATATAAAAATACATTGAAATGGAGCTCGTTTCGGCCTAATCAAAATCAATCACATGAAAAATTCCAAACGACATTTTCTTAAAAATACAAACACAATAATGTTGCTCATTAACGAAATATATAGAAAAAGCAAAACATTTTACCAGAAATGCAATGCATATCAAACAATTGATGTCATTCGCGGGCTTCCTGTGGTGACAAACCACGCTCCCCTCCCCTACACAATTTCCAGTCTTTTTTCGGCCAAAACCAAGATGGCTGACTAGTTAGTGATGTTTTCACTCGATTTACTGTAAATTTGAGCAGTTTTGAGCAAGAAATTCGCCTATTTAGTGAAGAAAATTATATTCCAATTTCCTAATATGGTAAGTACATTCCATATATGGTAAAAGAAACGGCTCGAGCGGAACGACAACTTTTCTATGTGGAAAGTTTGATATGAAGGATAGAGACAGGGATAAAGGGCGAACGTTATGATGAAACTTGCGAGAACCTCTAGTATGTTACACATATTATAACCACCATTACCAGCAAAATGCATGTGTTCAAATCACTTACAATTAACTTCTACTGAAAATGAAGCGCTAAGGATTCGTCCAACTCCATTACTCGCTGTACAATTGTATTGCCCAGCATCGCTGCTATTTGTATTATTCTTAATAAACTCCTCGCCAGTTCCAATAACATTGTATACACCATCTCTTGTCCAAGTAACGTTTGGCTTAGGTTTCCCGCGCACAAGGCATACCAATTTTATCGTTTCAGCTTCATTCACGGTAATATTTGTTTCAGGTTGTTGACGAAAGGACGGTTGTTCTTGTGAAGTTAAAAGAAAGTATAATTTTATTCTAATGATACAACCTTTTTTACGGTTACAAAAAAAATAGGAAAAAATATTGGGAATGACATGCGGATACATTTTGTAAACAAAAGTTTCGGATAATAACTTATGGAAATAATATATATCGTGGTTTAACTATTTAAAAAAAAACCATTAAAACCATACTTTTTCCAAGAATTGTTAACAACGAGACCCCAAATCGCTGTGACAGCATATTACAGTCAACTTTTTTGACAAAGAAATGACAATAAGCAATTCTTACTATTTCGAAAACTCGCTATTACGGACACCAAGTGACAGTCCCAAGGATGTCCGCTGTAACGAGAGTTGACTTAGCATGTGCGCTTAGCTTGGCTTGTCAGCTTTCCAATTTTATGACACACAATCGTGACGTCATCCTCGAAAAGCATTATTGATGTTTAAATAGGAGGGGCAAAGGAAAGTGTAAGGAAAAGGGAGAAGTATTAAAACAATAAATAGAACAAGATGAAATCAAAACATACCAAGATAACTTATGTTGATACTAGATGGTGGCCCACTTCCCATAATGTTTTCTGGTATGCAGGTATACTCTTCGTCAGGAAATAACATCGGTTTCTTAATAATAAATGTGCTCTTTGGAGAACTTTGAAGCGTCGTCTTATTAGAAGAGAACGTGAACTGATTTGCTGGTGGGAAAGCTTGTGCGCTGCAGTTAAGTATGAGCGTGTCGTTAACTGCAACTTTGAATTCCCCAGTATGTGTGGTAAGTTTCGTGTTGATAGGACTGTCTGCATAAACAGAAAAGAATAAGCATAAGTTATGTAGCAGCAATCTCAGTATGCTTCCCTCTTCACTCACGGCACCTCAAACATTTGACACAGTAAGCATAATAGAATAACGAATGACTTACATTGGACGATAAGTTCGGTAGTTGCAGATTTTATCCCTAGAAGATTGTAAGCTTTACAGACGTACTTCCCTGCGTCCTTCCAGGTCACATTTGTTAATAGCGTTACAGATTCATTGCCAATGGAGACATTTTCTTTAAACCACTGAACTCGAGGAGCTGGCTTGCCTGAAGCTTGGCAGTCCAATGAAGCAGAATGGGTTTCATTTACAGTTTGTTTGGATTTGTTTATGGTGACCTCTGGAGCATCTGTTTGCAGAAACCAAATAATAGGAATAGTACGTCAAAGAGACATACAGACACACGCAGACAGAGGCACGCAAAGATGATTTTATCACTGTAATGCAGAGAAGAATTTCAAAGACAAAAACAAAACTTCACTGGAGAAACAAGGTAAAGTAGTCAAATTGGAACAAAATGAAGGAATAGTTATTTAGTGCAAAAAGAAAAGAAAAAGAAAAGAAAAACAAAATAAACTAAAAACAATCGCAGAGAAATGTATATGATAAGACAAATATGCGTACATGACCAACTCCCACACGTTTTTTTCTTCTCATAGGGGACGACTTACAATTAACAATGACCGTGGCTTCAGAATACACTGGTTCACCAATACTATTGTTTGCAGTGCATCGATATACCCCAGCATCGTTTCTGCTTGTGTTTTCCTTTTTATAAGTGTCGTTGTGACTTAAAAATTTCGAATTTTTTGTCCAAGTTACAACTGGTAATGGGTTCCCTTTAGCTTTGCATCGTAGCTCCAATGTTTCAGATTCATTTATGGTGCGATTTTTCAGTGATTCTGAAAGTACTGGTGGTTCTAAAATAAAAGCAGATTAGAAAAGAAAGATGATTATCTAACATTACCCCCCCTTCCCCACCTCCTCTCCCCGAAAGGAAAATTTTGGAATACGTAAACACGACACATATATTGATGATGTGAATCGCATAGCCAAGGCTAATGAAAGTCAGTTTTGATCTATTAAAATTGACCCATTCGTACAGTCTTTGGGTAACTATTTTCATATATGCTTAATTCATGGCTTTTTGTATTCTTAACTTTGTGTTTTAAGCTTTGATTCTACAGAATTAAACGTATCGAACTTGTACCAAAGCTCAGTTAATATTTATATAGTAGTAATAAATTATGCGTTCGGTGTGTATATAATGAAGTAGAGAGAATAAGAGAAAAATATCAAATGCCCTTGGCAGGATTCACTTTAGAAAATCAACTGATTATGTACTAAATCATAAGATTGTGACAGCCTATAAGCTATTCCCATCATGAGGACAAGACTGGGTCAAGTTGGTATTGCAATGCTTTGTGGGGCTCTTTTAGAATACATATTTTCAAGATGGCGTCTATTTCGTCCGCGTCCCCTGGAAAAAAACCCCAAATGCACTCAACACCAACGCCACCCACTTTTTCCGTACACGGAAATGGCTAACAGGATCTTAACATAGAGAATAAAAGTATTTCTATGATGTTCTATTATTACTTGCTAAATAATATATCTATAATTGTGATACTGATAAATATTTACCTAATACATTGATCATGACCGTAGCTGGATCTCCATCCCCTAACGTATTTGACGGTATACACTTGTATTCTCCACTTTTTGTCGACGTGATATTATCTACACTGAGAAGTCCGTCTGTCACATTTTTGAGAAAAGAACCGTTGCGATAAAAATGAAACTGATTGGCTTTTGGCAAGGCTGACGAAGTGCAATTAAGGACTAATTTTCTACCGAGAATAACATCAGTTCCAGGATCCGCAGTTAATGTAGTTTCGACGGGTCGATCTAAAATAGAAAACAAAATAATCAAGCAGTCACGCAATCACAAAGCCAAACAGCCAAATAATAGCACAGTGTGACACATTTACATAGTAACACATTCATGATCATAAACATGACTATATTTTTAAAACGGAGGAAAAGGGCAATGGCACCTTTGACCAGCTCTCAAACTTGAGTAGCGGGGTTTACAAAATTAAGAACACTTTTTTTTATCAATTATCAACATCTCTTTGTTCTTATTCTCAGCTAGAAAGGAACAGGACGAACCATGCGATTCCCTTTAATCAGCCAAAAAACCACCCCACAGAGTCGAAACAGGAAAAAATCTTGAGAACGAAATCATTGATATATTTAAATGACTTTTTTTTCTTTTTTTCTTTTTTTCTTTTTTTAATTTTTATTCATTTGGTCAAAGTAGGGCTGCATTTGCTGAGCTTAATAATATTACATAACTATACATATAATGAAAACGTCCACTTTATCAAGCCTGGTTAATATTGGTCTGGTCTCCCAAATCCTTTTGAACGATAGAAACCCTACATTCAAATGATCTTAGCATTAATTATAAAATTATAAAATGATTTAAGTGAACAATGTTGTTAGTTGTCAATTGTTAGTGACACTTACATTGAACTGTCAGTCTAGTCTTTTTAGAAGTCATTCCCAAGATGTTCTTTGCAGTGCAATTATATTCTCCAGTATCTGCCTTGCTTATGTTGGCAAGCTTCAATGTTGCATTTCCTTGTCCACTAGTCATCGTATTACCCGTGGCCTCCCATGCAATATTTGGAATCGGATTACCAGACGCATTACAATAAAGTGAAACTCTGGCTCCCTCTGGATGTATTTGATCCATTGAAATATACTGAATTTTGGGCTTAACTGTAGAGACAACGGCAAATTAAAAAAAAAAACGAAGAATCTACTATTAATAGTGATATTTACAGTATTTTTTCCCTATATATTTTAGCCTAAATCGAGTGATGGACAGTACTGAATTTATTCTAAGCTCTTCATTCATATGGTTGCCATGGATAATTTATTTGACATGGTCAACAATTTTGTAATATTAAAAAAACGTATACGTTTATGTTATCATGTGTAAATTTGCAGTTTAAAAGGATGATAACAATAGGATAAATAGCAGGGTGTGGGGACAGTTATAGGCATTAAGTTCGAGCATTGTATTGCTTGTATTGCGCAATCGTAGCTCTCTGGAATGAAATTTTAAAAACCTATAGCATGAGGCAGTACTTACACTGCACTTCCACAAAGAATGTCTTGTTGTTCGTTCCAAAGCTGTTATTAGCGATACACATGTATAGACCTTGGACTGAAGGACCCGTAACAGAAAGGTTGAACCAACTACTGGATGGTGCAAGTACTTCTGATGGATCATCAGCTTTCTTCCATATGATATTGGGCTGAGGTTTGCCTGTAGCGTTGCAGTACAAGTTCACAAGATCTGTCACATTCACTAACGTGGCCTTAGGGGAGAAATCAACCAATGGATAGGCTAAAAACAAACAAATACGTATCCGTAAAAAATATATAAACACACATACAAACACACTCCCATATTACTTACCAAATGAACATAATTTGGTACATTTTGATTTTTCAGCTTGAAGTAATCCATTGAGCTTGTATTTTGTTTTTAAGCAAAAAGTACGATCGAAACTTTCTTGAACATCTTTAAGAATCAATGAAATATTCTGTTTACCATGTACTTCATACTTCCCCGAAAGATCATTTGGGCCATATTCAAATTCATCTTCTTTTACTTTCAAAGCAAGTGAAGTTTGCGTGTTTCCTTTCTTTACAAATCCCACATCACTCAGATGATGAGTTTCATTCTGTGAGATATTAAGCTTATAATTCCATCGTAAGGTCACACTCTTTCCAATTTCTGCATATGTTTTTGCGCCAGGAGTTTGAATCCACGTAAATCCACCTAGAAAACAAGTAGATTATATCATCCGTTAATTATCTAAAAACATGGAATCACTAAACACAAACAAAATAATAAATTATAATAATAATACTAATAACTTTATCATTTGTATTGCGCCTTTTCTGGTGCTCAAAGCGCAAATTCACAAAATTATATTCATAAAGCTGAAAAATAAAGAAAGAATAAAATAAAGAATAAAGAATAAAATGTTTTTATAATGTTTATATAATATGTAGTTACTTTAAAATGAGTAAAATAAATTATAAATGAATAACATAACTGCTGAGTAACAAACAACTTACTTGTAAAGACGAGGAAGAAGCTTCCAAAGATAAATACATAACAAAGCAAATGGCGGATCGTTAGAGTGTCTTTTGAGCTGATCATTATGTAGGTTTTGAACTCGCTTATCTGTCGAGAGACATTAACCCTCTATAGATTACCAAAAAGAGCACCCTTTATATAAAGGTTAGCAGCAAAACAAGTCTATATCTGATCTATCTTCGTTTTGTGGTATTACAACAAGCCACGCGAACACGATATGCTTTAGGTTCCTTCCTCCTTTCATAGAATGGCTTGTCTCTAAACGCCCATCAAAATAGGCAATCTGATAGGCTTTTGTCTGAAAGGTTATTACGTTGACAGACTTGATGCATACATTAAAAAAAACAACCATAAATAGATATGTAATGCATCAACAACAACAACGACAACAAAAGAAATAGCACAAATAAAATAAAATAAAAATGAAAACTTAACGAAAAATTGAAACAAGTGTTTCTGTTTATATATATATATATATTTTTTTTTTTTTTGTTATTTTTTAATCCATCTATTTTCGGAAAACGCGAGTTGACTTGCTTTTGAAGCTTTTAAAGACTTATAATTCGATTATTATACTAAAAAAAAGAATTAGAAGTCAACTTTGAATAAAGAATTTTTATTTATAATGAAAATACCGTTTTATTCATTTTGGATATTCTTGCTACTGCTATTGCTTTCTTAAGTAGTTCCTGTTACACGTCGAATTCGGCAGAGCCACAGGGCGTGTGAAATATGATAATAGTATGTCTTACATATTATTGGCCATACTAAGTAATATACATTTAGTAATTTTAAGATAACTAATGGATTTCTTAAAGTCTCCTTGAGGCTCAAAATAACGGCTATGGATTTCGCTTTCTTCTTTTATGTTTCCAGGTGTTTCTATCTAGACGAAGAGTAAATAACGCGACGGGTTCGCTTCATCTCATCTAACAGAATGACAAGAATGGCTCACAGAAAGGATTAATTGATAAAATACTTAACCTTAGGCGTAACTTCAATATGGAACATGCATTAAGCATTAATTGCTTGAATTCCTCTCTCTAAATTCAGAGTATATAATTTTGTATAAGTGGCTGAGTAACTTGCAAATTTATACAATTGAAAAGCCAGTCACTTCTATTAGAGAGAGAGAGAGAGAGAGAGAGAGAGAGAGAGAGAGA